AATACTTAAGTTCCATAGACAATTAAAGCTAATTAAAAAAGGGGATTATTACTCTTTTTGTGTGGATAATAACTTCAGAAGAATGGTCGTGAGAGAAGGCATTTTGAAGACTACAATAGATAAATAAAGACTTTCACATGCTGAATACTAACTTTAAATTATTATAGCTACTGTTAATTCCACTTATTTAACTGAATTTATGTACCTACGTATTAAACACTTTTCGCTCCTGACATCCTTTTTTGCAGCGATATGGCAAAATCAAGTTTAAGAAAGACATGGCAAAATAGTTCAAATTTTACGCAAGCGAAATTTCATCATATAATCTTAGAAATAAACAAAAAGTCAAAAATATCTTTCTCCAACAGTTGTTCATCATAGAAAGACTAAACAATCCAAAGCCCCCAAAAAAAGCTCTACAAGGAAAGAATCCCATTTTACTGAAAATTTGATTACGCAATACTGTTAACTGTAAGTGTAGTCCAGGGAAATTATAGATTTTTCGGAATGCTTAATCATAGCATGGCATAATTCTTGAATCAACCAAAGAGTAATTATGGATACTCTTTGAATCAACACCTCTCTTGAATCCATATAACGTTAAAAATTTAACTAAAGCCATAGAGTAAAATACCTAAGCTATTTTACTCTATGCTAAGAGACTCGTCACTTAAAACTGCTTTTTATAAACATAAATATGAATAAAGCCGCAACTTTAGCAGAACAAATATTGATTATAAAATTATAACAAATTTTTCTACTACTTTACCGAGGTATGGACGAGTACTTTCGAGTATTTGTACTATACTGGTGCTGAACCTTTCAGTTTTATGGTGTAAAGCTGATCACAATGTTTACACATAAGTAACTGTTGAGATTTGACTGATTTATATTCTCAGATTTAAGATTAGCCACACTTCACTTCTCCAGAAAACTCACTTACGTTTAAAAAACGGTTTTAAAGCATTTTGAAGGGATAAATTCGGTATTGGTAGTTGGTATACGTTTTTGTGTAGGTATACCAATTTTATCTACGTTTAAAATTCATTTTTATTCACATATAATAAACTATAGAGTTTACGTTCTACGTTGATAATACGTGTATAAATAACAATTTTGTAGAATTGGTTTGATAAACGTATATAACACCACTTTAATATACGCGTATAAATTATTTTTTTATTTTTATTTTATTTTTATTTTGCCTTTAGTTAGTTTTTAAGATAATACAAGAAAAGAATGACAAAGAGATGTTAAGACGAAGTAGGAAGGGTGGAGGTGGAAGGAGGCGAGATATCAAGAGAAGAATGTGACCAAAAACTAACAAGACTGAAAATAGGAAAGCGACAGGGAATGGTGACATAAGACATGAGGCTTGGATTTTCGCTACAGATAGTATCAAGAAGAAGCTGAGGAAACTAATAAACAAGATGTAGAAAGGAGGATGACTAACGGAAAAATGGAAAGGAATAAATAGTGCCTTTTGGCAGAAGGGGGAATAAATCCTGTTTGAAAAATTATAGGGGAATTACGATAATAACGACTGCGTACAGAATATATGCGATGGTATTAAATGAAAGGTTAGAAAGAGAAATAGAAGAGACGAGGATAAATGGGATTTAGAAAAGCGGGAGGAACGATCGGACTGTATATGTGTACCTACCACACAAACTGGCGGAATAGGAACTGGAAAAAAAAGAGCGGAACATTTCTCGGCAGCGTTTAACAGAGTGGAGAGAGAAAAAGTATGGACAGAATGAAGGAGTTATACGGAGAAACCAGAACGAGTATATTGCTAGGAGGGAAGAAGTCAGAAGTATTCTGGACAATAAGTACTTACTGAGACTTAGCCAAACTTTATTTAACTTTTCGATAAAAGATATGGAGAAAGTCAAACTGAAGGAATCATATTGGGAACAAGGAATATAATTATGGTCTCTGCCCCCTGGCACACGCTGACGACATACTAATAATGGCAACACAGGTAGGACAGATGACAGAAATGATGGGAAGAATGGAGACGTACAGGGAAAGAAAGGGAATAGAGTTAAATGTAAAAAAATCAAAGATGATAAGATTTAGGGAGGGGGAGGAAAGGATTGTGAGAAAATGGAAATGAAGGGACGAAAGAGTAGAGAATGTAATAGAAATTAATGAAAAATGAAAAAAAAAGGTTTTCACCGTAAGGCTGTTCAAATAAGTTAAGGCATAAATATTCTTATAAATAAGAAACATAGTAATAGTCATGCGCATGCGTATCTTTAAAATATGCAATATGTTTGCTTTTACTAAAAGAATCTGTGGTTAAAATTCCAAAAAATATATTATGTATAAATAAGAGAGTTGACAGACCGATTTTTCTTGGCTCAGATGCCAGTACTAAATATCTTGAAAACGGACGGACGAACGGAGAAAGTGACCATAATATGGCCTTCCAAAACGAGTTTGAAAATGAGCTAAAAAGAGGGAAGTGACCATGAAACTGGTGTGTGGAATAGAAAAAGGCAATTCAAAATGAGAAAATACCTTTTTGATGCAATTGCCATATGGTTGTTGATGTATTAGACTGACATATGGGGTTGTGACACCAAATTATATATTAGAGAGGAGGAAATAAAAATCATCGGGAAGCAAGGCGGTCAGATTCGAGGAAATGAGAGAAAGTGAATTGGTGAAACGATGTTTGGATGAACACTAAAGAAAATTGGGGGAACAAAGAAAAAATGTTATGAAAGAAATGGATACGGATAGTTCGAAAGGAGGAGAAAACTAGGGGAAAGGACAAAAGATGAAATTACAAAAATGAACATAGTTACACAAATACAAGTGTAGCAAAAGAGGTTAAATATCGCGAACTCACGAGGAAACAAAAGGTACCGAAATACGAGAGAAGAAAAAACATCAAACTAATATCGATACTTAGGGGCGGAAACGAGGATAGGGGGGAAAGAGAAGAGGAGGGAAGAAGAAGAAGAAACGAAATCCAGACTTGTGGAGAGAAAGAGGAAGATATTGAGCACATGTCATAGAGTAGAAAGAACAAGGAAAGGCAGGAAAGAAGAGAGCTGGAAACACAAATTATGAGATACGTGAAGTTGAATTTTTTGTAAAAAGTGTTTGCCAAAAATGCCGTTAATAAAGAGTTGATTGAGGATAATTCTAGGACAGACATTGTGGAAACAACTCATTTTCAATATCGTACTGACCTAAGCAGTAAGCAATATCCTTGACACGGTAAATTTGTTAGTTCATCTGTCTTACAATTATGTTAATGTAAAACTGTATGCTTAAATCTGTATAAGTACTTAAATTAAGCTTGACATTTGTGATTAGAATTTCAATCTTTGTACCCAGTACCCACACTGTGTCACTTTAAGTTTAAAGCTCGAAGTTTTGGATTTCTCACAGAACCGCTGTAACAGTGGAGGTAGACATACATAATACATATGTCTCACGTGTTGTCGAGAAATCGCTTAAGAATTTCTGTTGAAATTAATTCAAAAAGATTCTTTGGTCGGTATAACTAAACAGTTGTCATCCTTATCTCCTTTGAAAGATGCTGAAGGTATTATATCAATCATATTCTGAATAATAAAGTCAAGTTCAGTCTCATAGAACTGTGACTGAAGGAGAAGAAAATCCATTCCTCAATTAACGACTATTAATTTTGATTAATGCGCCACAACACCAAAAGAATCCAGCAGAATGCCAGACATATCCTGGAAAATAGTAAACCAAAAAATAGGGAAATAACTCGAAAGACTTTTTTGGTGTTTAGATTAGTCTGGAACAATAAGTAACCATAACACTCTATGACGACGTCTCGAGACTTAATCAAAGTATCACAAGGACGCAGAATGGTAGTTTTGGGATGCCGTAGTACGTTATTCACCACATCAAACTGAACGTCTGTGTATACCTTTCAGCTTCGTACCATTCTTTGAGGTTCCAGCTACCAGCAAAAACTTAGTGTTCGGATCATACGTTTGGTACAAATCCTTGTTATTTTTTGTAATTCTCTCAAACGCTGCCATAGTTCAGTGGATGAAGACGAACATCTCATACATTTTCCCATCTATAAACACACTAATGATTTAAGCTCAGATTTACCTGTTTTCAACTTGTTGCTAAGTTATTGGGGTAAATGTCATCTAAATTACCAAATTTTTAATTAAATAGAAAAATTACCCATTTGTAACCACAAATTAAAATTTCTATTTTTAAGTGTTTAATTAATTTCATGATGAAGTCCACATAATCTTTTTGATACCTGCAGTGTATCTGTGCAAAGTATTTTTATATACATTTTGTGTAAATTTCTACTACTCCACGAACGTTCATTACGATACAGTCAGTGTTCACTCACGTACCAGTTCCTAATTGTTTTGATTTCGGGACTTACCTAATTAATTTTTATTTTTGGCTCCAGCATCGAATGAAAAAAGTACACTTAGTATTATAGGTATGTTACAATATTAAACATTATATAGAAGAGAAAATTGCGAAAATACGTTGTTCATTGATATAATTTTCCCTTGCTCGTGTACGAATAATCTACATACAGAGATTATTAACCTGTTTTTGCTTAGATACAAAAGTTGTTCCCGGCCATTTAGGTAGAAATTTTGTCACCACTCGATCATATTCTTTCCTTTTTTTATGTCTCGGTTTTTTCTACATTTAATCGACACAATTTGATTAGCATAATGTAATTTAAATAATTCTATAATCTTGTCACACTATAAGGATCATCTCATAGTTGAAGGTTGTGTTATATTCATTTGTCATCGTTAATTTTCATACAATGAATTGCAAAAAAAGATCAATTCCGCAGGTATTTCCATGTGCACATTGAGGGGAAAAATGTGGTAAAATTCGCGAACTTGTCATAGTAAAACGAGGAAATTTCGAAATTTTGGTATTTTATCAACCGTAACGCACGAAATGCATGTTATCACATTCAGGGAATTGAAACTCGTGCGATGCATCGTAATTTTTTTAAATAAAACCTAACATATGAATCTTCAAAACAAATTATTGGAAGTCTTTGGCATTGGGCTCCTCCCTACCTGGTGGTAGTATAAGAGAGGTCGTTGCGCCTCTGGAGAAGGTACTCTCTTACTGTTGTGACAAGTATTAGTACCTCCGGTAAGCCCAATTAATTTCTCTTGTAACGGTAACTGCATTTTTATGATTATTGTTTTATAAATTTATAGAGCCACTAAAATGTATTTCACTTTTACATAGAGATCTTATCTCGAATTTAATTTTTGCTAATTTATGCGTAGTAATCCTTTTTTAGGTATTCAAGTTGTGAATTTTGTTTTAGACGAAATGTTCTCAGCGCGTTTAATGGTAGTAGTGCCGGTGTTGGTAGCCGCAGTGGTGGCACAATCTGGAAGATCGGACTTGGGCCCTTCGGCCAAACAGTCCTTACCGATGGGCCCTCCTTTGATGGGTTACTCGCCCCAAATTTACCAGTTCGGATATCCCGGTCTCGGCTACGATCCCAGCAAACAATTTTACCCCGGGTAAGTCGCCAAGTTTCCGGTCTTCAACCCATCATTAACCGCGCTTATACAATATTATTAACAACTATAATTTTCCACTTTCCAAATTTTGCGTGTAAGTTATATGTCTTTATATCCATAAATTAGTGTGAAAGTGAATTGAGAGTAAATGACAATGTTCGTTACGCAATTTCTTTATTGATCTCCGGATTGTTTAACGCACGCCAGTAATAACAATTTGCAAGCAACCTAGAAGCAAAGGTCATAATTTCATTGTAAATAAAATCAGGTAACGTTTGTAATATAAATGACAACATTTTTCTAATTATTATTCAGTTCATCTGCGGGTTTATCACCTTCGTAAAGCATGGTATTTGTTTTTACAGTGGTCAGCCCCCCATTGTTTACTATGGAGGAGGTGCGCTACCCGGGCAGCAATTCCTGTACAGACCCGGATCACCACCACCCGGCAACTTTTTGATACCCCAACCCTCGCCAGGCCTGGGATTCCCACAGACGCCCGTCTTTCAAGCTGGCTACCCCAAACCGGCGCATATTCCACCGATCGAAAAGGACGCCGAAGAAGTGCCAGATTTAGCTGGTAATCATCCACCGACCATAACCGGAAAGCCCTTCTATCAGTCAGGTACGAACTAGTGCGTAGAATGATCTCGCGCTCCCATCTGCGTCACAAATCATCTCTCCATTTCCATAATGATTTGCTACAATTAGTAAACACCGAGTAGGTGTATTTTTTATGTAAATCATTTTAAAGCAACCGCACCTATATGTGTTTCTTGTAGGTAAAAAACGCAGTGTAATCCGATAGACGTTTTCTGTGGCCGTCCATCCTTGGGGTATCTAAATCCGTAACCATCCTTACCACATGTTGTCAATTCTTTTGTAAATAAATCTTCTAATCGTTTTCTGGTTCAATTTTTATACTAACCCAAATGTTTAATAGGTGCGTTTTCCGAAAAACTTTTTTGTGACTAATCGAAAGCGGTACAAATATTATTATAATGGAAAATTTTAGGCGAAAGTTTTTTCTAGAATGACAGTCTTTGTGTAAATGCAAAAAAAATTGTTTCCTGTTGCAATGCCTCAATGGTGTGCAATTTGTACGGTAATGAATTATGACAATAATTCTATTGAAAGCTCTATTTCACTATCTGTTACTGTTGTTTAACTTTTTTTGAGCCGGCCCTGACCATAATCAGAGTATTTTTAGATCATTTAACTAAAAAGTCCTAATAAGTATAGTCAAGTCAAATGCAAATTGCATTTTGAATGACAACTGCCCTGGACAATTAATAGCCTTGTGCATCATACAATTTAGGCTAAACTTATGATTAAGCACAAGTCAAAGTCAACTGTACTTGCCATGGATATTTAATCTTAAACTGGACTTAAATTTGACGGTAAATAAATGTTTTCGGCAGTAAGTTTACTATGCCTAACAAAATTGTTGAAAATTTTGTTGCCTCGGAATTGAATATTAATTGAGATACGGATTCGTCTCAAAGGCAATAGTAACATTTCTGAAATTGCAAATATTAGTCAATTGTAATTAACAATTGATCAACTTTATTTATAAGTGGCAATCGACAATTCAGGTGGCAATTGGCAACAATTGTATTGTTAGTTATTTGTGGCAATGGGCTACTATTAGTGTAAATTATAATAAATTATTGTTTATAAATGGCAATTTATTTAAAAATAAATTACTTACGTAAATTTATAATTGCAATACCATCTCAAGTGTACCAGTCTCAATCAAGTATGTAATTTCCACACCAATTTTGTTGTGATCGGACAAAATTCCGAATCGATCCGAAAAATTCATAAATACCGAAGACAAATCAACCAGAAATACGGTTTCAAAATTTTCTTGGTGTTATATATTCGAACGGAAAATTTTAAGGGAATGGCTCAGTAGTTTCGCTGTAAATTTCTCAGTAATAAAATCTTGAATAGCAACATTAAACGCAATTAACATTTTAAATACAATGACAACAATTAGGGAAACTACGTAAATGTAAAAAGTCCTATGTGAATAGATTAAACAAGCGTCAGCCGTTTACGATTATGCCATATTAATGTAACTCGAATTTAAATTGTTGCAGATTTAAAAAAACATTAAAACGAAACATTCAAATTGATAACAAATCTACACGTATCATCCCTTACAAAACGCTAACAAAGTTCGAAAAATTATGCTCAGTTCTACCAAAAATAATTTTCAAACTTAGTCAGTTTTCTCAGGGAACGTGATGTGGGCGATCGAGGTAATTTAAGGGATGATTAGATGGGAACAGTTGAAATATTCTGACTCATCATAAATCTATACGTATCATCCCTTAAGAAACGCTAATAAAGTTCGAACAATTATGCTCAGTTCTACTAAAAATAATGTTCAAACTTAGTCGGTTTTCTCAGGGAACGTAATGCGGGCGATCGAGATCATTTAAGGGATGATTAGATGGGAACAGTTGAAATATTCTGACTCGCCATAAATCTATACGTATCATCCCTTAAGAAACGCTAATAAAGTTCGAACAATTATGCTCAGTTCTACTAAAAATAATGTTCAAACTTAGTCGGTTTTCTCAGGGAACGTAATGCGGGCGATCGAGATCATTTAAGGGATGATTAGATGGGAACAGTTGAAATATTCTGACTCGCCATAAATCTATACGTATCATCCCTTAAGAAACGCTAATAAAGTTCGAACAATTATGCTCAGTTCTACTAAAAATAATGTTCAAACTTAGTCGGTTTTCTCAGGGAACGTAATGCGGGCGATCGAGATCATTTAAGGGATGATTAGATGGGAGCAGTTGAAATATTCTGACTCATCATACATCTATACGTATCATCCCTAAACCAAGGTTAATAAAGTTCGAAAAATTAAGCTCAGTTCCGCTAAAAAAAATTTCAAACTCAGTCTCTTTTCACGGGGAACGTAATGTGGACGATCGAAACGAATTAAGGGATACTTAGGTAGGAATTGTTAATATATTAAAATTGATAACAAATCTACACGTATCATCCCTTACAAAACGCTAATAAAGTGCGAAAAATTATGCTCAATTCTACTAAAAATAATGTTCAAACTTAGTCGGTTTTCTCAGGGAACGTAATGCGGGCGATCGAGATCATTTAAGGGATGATTAGATGGGAACAGTTGAAATATTCTGACTCGCCATAAATCTATACGTATCATCCCTTAAGAAACGCTAATAAAGTTCGAACAATTATGCTCAGTTCTACTAAAAATAATGTTCAAACTTAGTCGGTTTTCTCAGGGAACGTAATGCGGGCGATCGAGATCATTTAAGGGATGATTAGATGGGAACAGTTGAAATATTCTGACTCGCCATAAATCTATACGTATCATCCCTTAAGAAACGCTAATAAAGTTCGAACAATTATGCTCAGTTCTACTAAAAAATTTTCAACCAGTCTCTTTCACGGGGACGTATGCCGGACGATCGAAACGATTAAGGGATACTTAGGTAGGATTGTTAATAACTATTAAAATTGATTACAATCTATACGTATCATCCCTTAAGAAACGCTAATAAAGTTCGAACAATTATGCTCAGTTCTACTAAAAATAATGTTCAAACTTAGTCGGTTTTCTCAGGGAACGTAATGCGGGCGATCGAGATCATTTAAGGGATGATTAGATGGGAACAGTTGAAATATTCTGACTCGCCATAAATCTATACGTATCATCCCTTAAGAAACGCTAATAAAGTTCGAACAATTATGCTCAGTTCTACTAAAAATAATGTTCAAACTTAGTCGGTTTTCTCAGGGAACGTAATGCGGGCGATCGAGATCATTTAAGGGATGATTAGATGGGAGCAGTTGAAATATTCTGACTCGTCATAAATCTATACGTATCATCTCTTAAAAAACGCCTAGCAAAGTTCGAAAAATTATGCTCAGTTCCCCTAAAAATATTTTTCAAACTTAGTCGGTTTTCTCAGGGAACGTAATGCGGGCGATCGAGGTAACTTAAGGGATGATTAGATGGGAACAGTTGAAATATTCTGACTCATCATAAATCTATACGTATCATCCCTTAAAAAACGTTAACAACGTTCGAAAAATAATGCTCAGGTCCACTAAAAATGATTTTCAAACTTAGCCGGTTTTGTCAGGGAACGTAATGCGGGCGATCGAGGTAATTTAAGGGATGATTGCGTGGGAACAGTTGAAATATTCTGACTCATCATAAATCTATTCGTATCATCCCTTAAAAAACGCTAATAAAGTTCGAACAATTATGCTAAGTTCTACTAAAAATAATGTTCAAACTTAGTCGGTTTTCTCAGGGAACGTAATGCGGGCGATCGAGGTAATTTAAGAGATGATTAAATAGGAACAGTTAAAATATTCTGACTCGTCATAAATCTATACGTATCATCCCTTAAAAAACGCTAACAAAGTTCGAAAAATTATGCTCAGTTTCACTAATAGTTACTTATATAACAGGAGCGCGAAATAACATCGCGCTAGCGTTATAAAATGCCTAGGGATTTTGCAAAATGCCGGATTTCGCAGTTTGCCGGTAACATATACAATATTTTTTCTACAACTGAACCGATTGTTAATTAAATTTGCTGTTTAAGTTCAATTTTGTCATGTGTGCGAAATACTATTTTTAATTGTTGACGGTTTCGTTGTCAAGAGCAACCTTACTTATTAATTAACCGTTTAAAAATCTACTACTTCGCGTTTCGAAATCCGTCAGAAAATGACAGGTTTTTTTGACAGTAGAAAATAGTATATTATATACCGAGGGACTAAAGTGTGTGTTTTAATCCCGAGGGTGCAGATTGTTGTCCAAAACGTAGTTGAATTATTTTAAGTTTCAAAATTGTTGTTTTAAAGATTTTTCCAGTATTTTGAAAATTATAATACATATTAGGTTAATCTCCGAGTCTACCGAATATAGCTTCTAAGACATGTTTGTTATTTTTAAAATGATTTTTTCCAGTATGTTTCAAAGATTATTATAAAAGTTACAACTCTTTATCCTCATATTATCATATAAGAGTACTCTTTGGTATGATTTTTTCATTGGGGTAAAAAAAATCGTATGCACAAGTTCACTGTCCAATGCCAATCATTGTCATGTCATGAAAATTTCAGGTTTGAGGCCCTGGCAGATAAATAATAACTAATCCAAAACTGACCCAGGTTTATCTATCGATCTCCCTGGATCTTGGAGCTGTAATGTTCCAACCCAATCTATAGCATGTACACGACAAGTAGGTATTGTATGTGCAATATACAATTTGGGTACGTCGTTCATTGCGGAATATAATGAGAATAGGGCCATTTTTTGTGATTATCTCTATATCATTTGCCCGTTACAGTTCCGTGTTCTTTGATCGGTGTTATATAACAATATAGGTAACAAATTAAAAGTGATGGAGAATCTGAAAATATAATTTAGGTATAAGCTTAGGTCATAAATTGTTTAAATTACACACATTTGTTAAACTAATACCTTAAAAGCATTAATTACAGTTACGACAATCCCGAAAATAGGTCACAGTTAAGTCGCGTGTCTAACACAATAGACAGCCGAATTACATAATCGGACACGAGTAACAATTACATACAATAAATAAGCAAGTGCGCGTGTTTCTAACACAAACTTTTTTTAGCGCAACCCGAAAGGATCGAAACCTTCGACGAGCCCGTGTCCGCTGGCGAGCAGGACGATTTGGCGGAAGGGGAGAAGGTGCCAAACTTCTTCCCCAAGAAGGCCTTCCCTGCCCGACCTATTCTGAAGCCAGGACAGCAATTCTTCATATTGAACGGAAATACGTTATTCTCGAACATACCAGAACCCCAAATTCCACGCCAAGTTCACCACCCGCAACAGCCGATATATCATCACCTACAGTTTCTGCCTCAATTTGAGAAGCCAGAATACGCTTTCCAATCCGTGGCAAAACCAAGCGAAAACTACATATCGTTAAATAACGTTGCGGATTTTAGAGAAGCTATACCATTGGTGCCTTACCAAAGTCAGAATCAACCACAAGCGCCTGTCGCGGCGTTAGTTATCCCTCTAGCGCCCCAACCCTCGCGTGCTGGTAAGAACCTTCCAGTCCCATCGCCGCACGGCGCCTTCCACGGACCAGTTCGCTACCCCTTCATAATCGCTCTGGATGACCAGCGAAAAGAAGATGACGACACTGTGACAATCGAAGCTAGGCCAATCGAGGAGCTCAAAAAGATGGCAGAAAAGCCTATCGCAAAAGAGGAAGACGAACCGTCTCTATCGCAAGCTAAGCCTTCCGCTTTAGCTTTATCGGGCAAAGGCGGCGTTGCCAGCGCCGGACCCCGAGGTACAGCTCTCGTTGGCGTTAGGGGAGTGGCCGTTGCAAGTCCCGAGGCTACGGCCGTAGCCGGACCCGACAGAGACGAGTCTGAGAAACCCGATAAAAAAACGAGGCCGAAGAGTGAAAAGCGGCAAAGTGTTTCGAGTAGCTAATTTCGTTTTAGAACTAGATTTTAAGGAAAAAATAAATATTTTTTAACGTTAGGCACATTAATTCAATCGTATATTGCGTGTTAAAATCTTAGAGATGCGGAAAACACGCTTTGTTATAATAAGATGGCTGAAGTAACCCATCTATCAATTACCCACGATTGAAAATAGCCTAATTTTAAGACAAGTTTATGCATCATAAGGATCATACAGTAGTCTAACGAGAATGATTTGATTTGAGAGACTGCTCTTTTTACCCATAGGATGAAATGAATCAAACCCGTTATTATCATGGGATCTGTCGCTGACTGTTGGCTACAAATTCAAAGCTGAAAACTTGGTACAACACAGTATCTCGTTGTAGCACAAAAAATGTTTATACAATGTTCAAAGCCCAGATTTTCAGTAGGTATGCAAAAAATGCCGCGGGACAGAGAATCCACAAATCCCAATTTCCAAAACTGTGATGTAGGTAATAGGGAGATCGCTCGTTGTTAATTTATTTGTGTGAAATAATCACACTAGTATCAGACATTTTACTAAGTTAACTTAAAGTAATCATAAAAAGAAGTATTGTCTGTATTTTCCCAATATTCTAGTTTCCTTTAGGAACATGTACAAAATGTGTTACTTTTACTACGATCTATTTGGGAGAATGTGCTAAAACTAAGTATATTTGGCAAAACTTCAACTTGATCCTCCCCCTACTAAACGACAGCAGTCATATAACATGCTATACCAAGTCATTGGCAAACTCTTCTCTAAAGAACTGGAAATGTAATCTTACATAACACTTGGTAAAGATAATAGAGGCTGTATAGTAGGTACTTAACACAACAAAAACAAATAAAATACTATGGTACAAAGAACAAACAGATAACAATGTATTAAAATGAGTGTTTATATTACCTGTACTAAAGGGAGGTAGGTACACGAATAATTTTTGAGAAGTTATTGGATGCAATTCCATTCTGGGTTTCACTGTGATTCCAAAAATTCAAACCAACATTCAAAGAATTGTGGAATTGTAGGTAGTGTATTTTAGTGAAATTAAGTCGAGTATTTCATCCCATATCGAACAATAGCAATTTGTTGATAGGCCACAAGGAAAACGAGTGAAAACGGGCATTCATTTAAAGAACTTGGAACAATATATGCTATGAAGAAAGCAATTATAGAACATGCAACAACATGGCTTTTGGTGAAATTCTTAAATCATTTCGAACAGGTAGAATGACTGAAAAATCTAATGATGGACGGAGCCCAATGGTACGCACCTTTTCGGTATTTTAGAAATCAGTTTCGGTATCAAACGGAATACTTACTGTCCTGGACTTTATACACTGTGTCTATAAAATAACGATCCACCATGGTGATCTCCGAAAACATAGAAGCTACGACGATGGTCAAATTAGAGAAAAGATGCGCAATTAAACAGTTAGCCTGAAAATTCTGATTACTTCCGAAGATATGCCAGAGTTGCCGAGTTTGTTTTTATTTGTTTCTGATTATATTTGAACAGATACAAAAAAAATTAAAAAACATTTTCTCATTGCCACTTCTTTAGCTCTACAAGATACCGTTGAAAGATTATCAATACAACGTTCCGTTTCGGTGAAATAACCATCAACTTTATTTTTCATATGACCCGGTCCATCCTGTATTGAGTAGCATTATGAATACAAGGATGTACAAGACACAAAAAAAAAACAATAGTTAGAAGCTATCAGTTTCAACAGGATGGTGCACTCGTGCAGATACCTATCGAAGAAATTTTCCATTTGTAATCAAAAATGCTTCTACGGCTTCGGAGATCCCCATGATAGATATCCTTATATTGGACACAGTCTGTAAAGTCCAAATGTTCAATGTCTAGAAGTCCAAGTCTCTCAGTGCTTCAATAATGTTATTTTAATAATCTCAGTATCAAATGTAATGTCCTCGACATTTCCAAATTTAAATTTGAATGAATAAACAATGGAAACCCAAGGAATTATGAAACGTCCATAATCTTGCTCCCTTTCTAGGGTGATCTTTCCCTCGTAGGCGTCTATTTTATATGCAATAAACAATAACATTTTAGAATCGTGAATTTAATAAATTGAAATAAAGTAAAATACACAAAATAAAGAAGTGGCCCTTGCACTGGAATAATAAGTATAGTTCCAGTCCGTTGAGCTTGCAAAAAATTTTTGATTTGATACATACAATACTGTGATACAAAGAAAGATCAAATGAGCAGCGGAATGAGAGGTGCGCTTAGTTTAGGAGCTGCTGGTATGCACATAACTCAAATATACCCACTTTTCCAGTCTAGCATTGACTAAATAAAAAAAAATGTTTACATCCAAGAGAAGATTTCCAAAATCCAAAGAGGGGTATTCTTCAGAAATGAAATATTTCAGGTCCATGTGTGTCCATTTTATATCCAACAAACAAATACCACGATTAGGGAAGGGAAGAGAAGGGTTCTGCAACGACTGTCAACAATGTAATACTGTACGGATGCGGAGTGTAGGAGGATGGGTACTAGGTAGGCACCTGGACGGTCAGAAAAACGTTAGATAGGGTGCAGCAAAAGATCGCGCTGCGGAAAGCCTCTGCCCATCGAACAGTGAACACTAAAGACCTTTTTTCGTGATCGCGTGTACAATCCCGCTGAGATTCCTAGTACATGAGAGATGGAGACGGTGCAACCGGACTGAGAGTTTAAATAAAGCGTCAGAGGGAGATTATGCCTAGAGCCGATAGGACAAAGTTAATCTTGACAACACCAAGTGAAAATGAATCCATGCCAAATGAGTACAAAAATTTAGACGCGAAAAATGTCCGATTTCGGATCGAGGTTTTATTAGCAAACTCATTTTATAAATATAACCTGCCTGCAAAGAATTGTGACAAAGCTAATGCTTCAAACTCGAGCATTCTACGATGATTCCTTCAAGAGTTATATGACCGACCGACCGACCGAACAGCCAAAGTGAATATACAGGGTGTTAATTAATTGGGTGCCGATAATACAGGATGTGAATCCTCGGGTGATTTTAAGGAGAAAAGTTTATATCAACATAATGTCCTAAACCTCTTAGTTTTTAAGCTATGGGGTGTTAAAATTTTAAGAAAAAAGTGAGTTTTTTTATCATAATGTTTTATTATTCTTGAGATATTTTTATGAAATTTTGTGCACACCTTTTCATCATTAAGGAGCATTTTTTGACGTACAAGATTTTTTTAGACCAGTGACGTCCGTACGGGGTTTGAACTGACAATTTTATTTATTAAGTATAGGACACGTTGATATACTCACACCATGTATTATCGGCACTCAATTAATTAACACCCTGTATCAGCGCTATTTTCTTTCAAAAACGCGCTAAAAATGATTAACTATGAACGTGCATTGTTGAAGAATAATTCACCTTGCGCTGAAGAAAACGCCAGAACTGAATTGCGCTATTTGATTATATGAAGCGAAACAGTGGATACAACAAATTTAGCAAAGACTTATAATCTTGCATCAAAAATTCATAGAAAGTCAACTTGTTTTTGCATCGATTGAAATATGGAAATTTGTGAAAGATTATTGCCGGAAGGGCTGCCAGGCGTGAGAAAAATTACGCTACTTTGATTATCTTAAGCGAAACAATACCAAAGAATGTAGCAAAGGTCTCCTAAAACTCGACGAAAATGGCTTCAATTAAAAAATGAAAATTTCTAAAAAATTATGGCCGGAGGAGCTGCCAGAGGTAAAAAAAGTTGCGCTAACTTGATTAGATTAAGCGAATCTGTGGAAAGAATTTTTCAGAAATTTTTGTTTTTCTGTCGATGTAAAACAAGTCGACTTTCTACATTTTGTGGTAGCCTGTCTACTGATTTATATCGACTAAAAAATAAAAATTTCTGGAAACCTCAGTACGCCGTTTTTATATTTAATTTGAATATTCTTATTTCTTGTTAGAAAATTCTAGTTTTTGTGTTTTTTTAATTTAGCATTTAGATTTAAAAAATTGTATATCAGTTTTGTGAGTCGACAAATTTTTCCCTATCATATATTGCGTTTTGGATATTGGTGATCGTCTTTCAGGTCACCAAATTTAGTAAGTATAGATACTTAGTGTAAATTGTACTACAAACTTATTATAACAATTTGTAGACTTCCCTTACTTCTGATGGTGACTGAGTGTTTAAATCTGTGCTTTTAGTCTGGGGGCCTCTTGACACCAACCAGAAGGCAATACGACTGGTCGCGACTACGACGAGGTTGTGCATGTGGAAGTGAAAAGTAGAAAACATCAAAAATTGTTACAACAATTTTGAGATACTGATGTGGACTTGCCGATTTTAAGCCATTTTCATTAATTTTCGCCTTACGGATATACAGGTGAATGGGTACGGTCATTGACAAAAGTAATCATCGTATAATAAGTAAACTACTCAAGGAGGAGGTCTTGTCGGTTCGCATTTCCTCAAATTTTGGCTGCGTATGCTGCAGGATTTACCTATTTGGCGATCATTACTTTTGTCAATTACATGTTGTCACATTGTTTGGTATTCACCACGAAAGTTCTTCAGCGATTTACGTTCTACGAGTAGATCGACATTTGTGAATTAAAAGTTGTTCCTCAACTCCATCCGAGGATCAGGAAACCACTGAGGTATTTATTGCACAAGCTGTAGATATGTATTTTTTAATTTGTCAGGTATTTTTGGGTAGTTTTGTATATTTTTAGGCATTTTAGCTGTTTATATGGATATTATTTGTGTATTTAATAGGTACTACAAAGGTATTTCAAGAATGTTCTCTAATAAAAAGCAATGCGAGAAGTAACGAAAGAATTTGGATTACGCATCGGATGGCGCTGAAGATTGCGTATTATAATGAGGTCGCTTAATGTACAATTTTTAGATTGTATTTACCAGTACAAGCACTAAATTTTGAATGAAACTTCCCAAGACCCCAAGAAGTAATTTCCGAAGGGTTAACACTGCGAGAGGGAACACTTTTTATAAGGATTCGAACCTCTGAACATAGATATTTTGCCATTTTCTCAGAG